ACATGATCTGACCGCGCGTAAACAATGCAGTCGGGGACTGAGTAGTAGTATGATTTTATTGAACAGAAATGCATTAATACCACTGATTGTTGAGCTACCTATATTTTTACCAAATTGGCGAATCGCAGAGATTTTTTGATCCGCTAAAAGCACTCACAGTGCATTTAAGATGATAAATGTATGATGTAGCAGACAAGTGATAGCTTTATCTTCAAGTTCCAGGGTTCGAAAGATATGTACTTTCGTACAGATATTTTTTCGTGCGCCATTCTGATGTAAATGTTCTGGCAAAACTTAAAATTTGATTACTATTCATCGTCAAAATAACAAATTAAATCATACATACCTTGATGTATATTTTCTTTTTACACTGATGTAAAAAAAATCAAAATTTGAAAAATACAAAACAGCAAAAAAACCAAAAATATAAAACAAGATTTACGGTGTTTTTTGTTGAGATTAAGGCGGGTTGCCGGGGCAACAGATAATTGCTACGTGATTTAGCCGCATCACGGATGTCGCGCCAGCATCATTGCTTTTGCCACTGCGTTTCCAGTCCCTGTCTTCTGGATTGTCTATTGTGGGATATACAATCAAGCAGTCGATTTGAATTTAACCCTGTTTGTTTTGCAGTGTGGAATCCTAAAAATGCGTGTTTATCTTCTCTTGAGATAATAACTATTTTGATTATTGGGTTGCCCGAATTTTGTCGAAAATACATTTGTGGAGTATACCAAAAGTGGAACCCAATTAGCCTTTCTCACGCCGCCATTTTTGGGTGGCTTTTCAGCCGAAGACTGCGAGACAAGTCCACATAACAGCGACTTTTTATAATTTTTTGACAAATGATGGTAAATTTGCTTTGTAAATAGTTAGTTTATTTAGTTAGTTTATTTTGAAAATTGCTTTTCACATTGTTTTAATTGTCTGCATTGGTTAACGTTTTGCCAACAAAAAATGGTGGATATTCGTCATTGTGAAAAAGGCCAATTGGTTCAAATATACCTGCGCTCTGGCCATTGAGCTGTTAGAATGTCCTAATAGTTCACTGGTCCTGATTGACATTAAAAAATATTCCATGTGTACGAACACAGAATATCTGATGCACATATTTCAGAGTGAACGTGGAAGTATTTCTTAGGGTTTTTCCAGCAGTGTAGGAATGCTGCCTAAACACTGCAAAATGCAAAATGTCACGTATCTAAACCCGTTAGCTGTATTACCAAAAAACCAACGCCCGTTCTTCCCGTGGGCTTGCATGAAGTTCCCATAAGTATGTATGATAATACAGGTTATATATTTTTTATTTTTACCTCTAGCAACGCCAACTGCTGGTCCAATTACGTACAAACCTACAGGAGAAGGAATCGATCCAACGACAATGATTGGCATTGAACTTCCAAAGTTTCCGAATGAAAATGGAAACATCAAGTACGGTTACTATATCTCTTATTTTGAATGCAACCGATCATAAAATTTTAGAAGTGTTATTAATTACTGATTAATCGATTTTGTTCGTGTTTGATGAAGATCCGGTCTTACATATCGAAATATTTGCCAAATAGATACGCTGGCTGTTTTCCACCAAACATGCAATAGAATATATCTCCATGCAAACCATCAAGAAACCTGTAAATATTTGTATGTGAGAAAATAGTATTGCGTATAACTGTTCATGCACAACACGTCATTCAATTGGAAGAAGGTTTTCTGAAGAACAAAGCCATGTCATTTTCCTGAATATAAAAGCAATTAGCTTTTCTCGTGCAATGTTCGAAAAATGTGCTATTTTATGGTGTACAAGTGCTTGCAACTGATTCAAATATACTGTCAAGCATTGTGATTGGATGAAATTAGCCTTTCTCACGATGACGAATATCCGCCATTTTTGGGTGGCATCTAATTCTCGTTAAGCAATGCAGACAATTCAAACAAAGTAAAAGTTTTGGATATTGGTCGTCAAATACATCAATTATAGGCGATATCCATGATAGTAGAAAATGCTTTAAAAATAGAAATCGAAAAACTGTGCAGCTAAATATAATATAAGAAATATTAAAGAAGCAGCTATAAAAAGAAGTAAAATTAACTCGCCGTTTATCTTCAAACCTCGTTAAAATAGTTATTGTCTTGTTTAGGTTTTACAGAGTTGTTGTGGTGATGGTGGATGGCACAGAAAATTCACAGGATTTGGCAAGAATATTTAACAAAAATGAATCTGAACTGATTCTGTATGAAAAATGGAAAAATCTGGATGATAAACTTCATATCCCATATATTGCTTCTGCATTCAGTGCGGACTTGTACGATGAGAACAAAAACTTTATAATTGGAAAGGGTGACGATTTCGATAACACATACCCAAGTAGGAAGAAAAGAGCGCTAGATGAATCAAAATCCAAAAACGGCAAACTTATACCTAACAAAAAGTATGCCGTGGCTGTCCGAGCATACACAGCTAAGGTAATTGCACTCTTGGTAATTGCACTCTACATCTTCTCATGCACTCTTGGTACAAACTATGTCTGATATTTTCTGATATTTCGTCTTATGCTGTGTATATAGACAGATCGTCCGTTAAGACGAACTGCGCATACAAGTTTGTTGTATGGGCAAACTACGCATACATGTACAGTTGGTCCTGACGGATGATCGAACTAACAGAGACAAACTATGTTTGTTCAAGTTCTCAAGAACAGGAGTAGTAATAGTCCCCACTCTGGAGTTCAAAGGCTTGCCGCCAATGACGTCACTTTGTTCAGATAGCAATCTGGTGGCAGAAGTAATTAGTTTTCAAAATCTATGACGTCACTT